TAAATGAACTATATTTTATGAATGTTTTTCTTTAAATTTGTGATGGAATTGATTTTTTATGGTTTGTTTTTAAATATCTACAATTTTTTGCTGCCTTGTTTTGATACTATAGAATTGTAAGACATACAATGTTGTATTTGTTAAAAAGATTTCGCATTATTCTAAAAAAAACAAGAAAAGAAAGGAAGGGGAAAAAAATCGATAGTGCATGTTGTTAAAAATGGAGCATACTAAATTGTACCATAAATCTCTAATCATCTAATGGCTACATGCTTGAGTTTCATATATGAGCTTTTCAATCTTTTTAAAAGTTAATGATATTCTCTCTCCCGTGTTTCGTGTTTGGCTTCTTATTCCTCTTTTTTTTTTTTCCTTTTTTCTTTTATCTTTTAGTTCAGACCTATCAAAAATAAATTAAAAAATAAAAGATGGTGAGATTTTGAAGGTGTTCAATGAAGAACATGTCTATTCTCATCTAGGAAGCACGGGTGCGGGTACGAGTACGTTGATACAACAAAGCCAAAAAAAGGCAGGATACGCTTACGGTCTGGTTCATTCATAAAAAAATATATTTTTATAATTTGTAGTAGCACGTGACATGTAACTATTAAAAAATTAAATGAAAAAAATAATCGAGGCATTTTTGTAGTGGTCAAAAAAAGAATCCTTAGTATTATTTATGTTTTTTATAATTGCAAAAATACCCTATATTTTAAAAAAATTTAAACATAGGCACAATATAATTGTTCACATATCCCTATATTTGTAAAAATTACATTTATACCCACCCGCTAAAGTACCCGAAGGACCCATCCCATACACGAAACGTAACCATCCCGAACCGAGCTGTACCCAAAGTATTTCACGTGCAGGATACGTTTTTCACGTACCTGGTATGCTTCATAAGGCAATAAGCAGAGGATTTGAAAGATGTATTATTAGCTATCCGAAATTATCATTGTATTGATTATTTGCATCCACATGATGCTTACAGCTTGCCTATGTTACAGGATGCTTGAAAAAGTCATACAGTTTATTATAGTTAATAATTTAAGGGATTTTTTTTTATTCTGTTTTTTTTTGGATGATTACAGGACAATTCTGTGCGTAGCTGGATTTTACGTGACCATGTCCTATGTGAAGTGCCCTTTCCTTCGAATACTCCTGGTGCGAGGAGCTCCAGTGATGTATGATGTAACCTTCTTATTCATTTTACATCCAAATATTTTTCTTCTATTTCGACAAATGTGAAGATTTCTTTTCAGGTTCCAAATGTATTTGATTCATGCTTTGGTTTAGCAACATCCCCTGGAAATCTGGTGGTTGCTGTGGTATAATATTTCCTCCCTGAAGTTCTCTAATTTTGGAAATTATTTATGCTATTAAATTGTATTTGCCACCTACATTGTCAGTAAGTGAGAAAGTAGACATCCTTGGCCATTTTATATGCATTTGTTTTCTGAAAGGAAAAAAATAAAAACAAAATCCAAGTCCATGATTCTGGCTTAGAATTGCAGCAATGGAGAGAGAGATTTAAGTCTTGGATTTATGGCATTAAAAAGGTACGCCCAGTTAGTGCTATTGGATGGGGTTTGAGAGGGGTAGATTGATTACAGACCTAAGCTTTGGCATAATTTGCACAAAGTGATTGCCCTCAGGTTCGAACCCACAACCCCAAAGTTAATAAACCAAGTTTTACCCACTGAACTAGTGGCTTCCCTTGAAAATTATACAACACTTTGTTCTTTAGTATCTGAGAATACTGCTTTGTAGGAGGTGGTCAACAAATTTTGTTATACTTTCTTTCCAATATTTGTTCGCCTATTTGAGTTAGTCGTTGTTTTAACACTCAGCAAATGATGGGAGTTGGATTTTCATGGGGCCAGAGAATTGAAAGCGACACATTCTGTTCTTACTTTTTTGGAATTAGGCGTTTGATTTGATTGTCATATTCTTGTTCAAGGTCATCGTGATGGTCCTAGTATTGAGATTTGCTGTTATTTGAAGGAAAGATTTGTTAAATGCTCTAGCCTCAAAGACATGTCTTAATTAAAGCACGATTCCTCTCAAAACATTCATCTCATTTTTACATATGTCCTTGTTCCTTTTAGGTGCTTTAGTGCTGATTTACAGAAATTAAGGTATATTCTTATCTGAGCATCAAACCAGTGCAAGCACAGGCTTTTGAGGTTTATCTTTTTTTTCTGCTTCTTCCACAAACTTTGATCAGCTTGACAAGCAAGTGCTTAAATCCTTATCATGCCTCAAATCCTAGTACATAAACCTTGGCACCATTGAGTTTTCCAAAGTTTCTTGTTTTGGATGTTTAGGAAAATTAGACATTCTCAAAGGGACAGAGAAGTATGAGTTTTTTCTGTCACAGATAAAAATGGGAAAGAGAAAACTCAATTGTAAGGAAGCCTTACTACAGCAGTTCGTTGCTTCACAACCCTTTCTGCTGCTTAGCTTTACCAAAGACCATATTTTCAGTTAGCTTGGTTCTTGTTGTCATTTGAATCAAATATTTTCTCCTCACTGGCAAACACATTTTCCATGAACATACCCCAGTATACTTTGTTGCATCTTTTTGTTGCATTACCACTCTTTCATCTGAACATTCTATTTTTTTTTTTTTTTTTATTTACCTTTATAAGTTGTTGTTTCTCCCGTTTCAAGTTTAAACCTTTCTAAAGATTTATATTGCTAGGATTGATTTACAAAGGTTGCAAAATGGAAGTTTAAGAGAGATGACTCTGATAACAATTTCTTGGCTAATATTTAGATGTCCAGTGTAATGGAATGATGTTGTTCTGTTTTTTGTATAATCTGATGATTTCAGATCTGTCCTTTTGATAGAACTATATATTGAAAACAGACATCTCCATGGACAGTGAAAGTGAAAATCATCCTATACCAATCTTAATAATGATCTACATTATGATGAATCATCTGTTAATGACATGCCTGGTCCAATCCTGTTGGCCCAACAACATAGGACTGCAGGTTGGCAGATTCAGTACTCTTTTTTTGACATAGGTCTCATCATCCATTGTCTTCAGCCCAGTTGGGCACTATGTAATATCAGAGGGCTCACTTTCATGGGCTGATCTTCATTGCACCTAGGAGAGCCACTCTTGAGCATGAGGAATTCATGATCCTCTGGCCTTCTTACTGCCACCTCTCTTTCTCTTGTCTACCCCACTCTCATCTGGTGCCACCATTTGAAGAATTTTGTTTGCATCTTTTGATGACAAAAAAAAAATTGAATATATATATATTTATATATATTTGAATAGATAAAAAAAATTTGTAAGAAAATGATAAAAAAAAAAGACATAATCACTACATAATAGGGAGTTGTGGAGAGAAATATAATAAAAAAAAAATATTTGAGGTAAATAAGTAATTTTTTCTTCATATTTTGTAAGAAATTTTTAGCTTAACTAACATATTAATTTGAGTTCTAAAGATAAAATAAGTTAAAATAGTTAATAAGACAAAATATCACATCAAACCCATAATCATTTCACTTTTTCTCTCATAAACATCACATCCAACCATAAAAAAATCCAATCATCTTCCCAAACACAAAAATTTTAGCCTACTAAAATAACCAAAAACTAAAATAGCCTACTAAGATAGCAACTTCCCAAACGAAGCCCATATGTGCTTGACTTCTAGTACAGTTATATACAGTGCATACTATGTGAGGCATAATAGGTACATGTGTGCTTGCAGAGACATTGGCATGCACATACACATGTTAAAATAATGACATAGCAAGAAATAGATTGAGATACAGCGCTATATGAAATAAAGTACATAGAAAATGCAAAATAAAAAATGTGACATGATACCTAGAAGTTGCTATCATTAAGAAAACAATGAAGGATAAAGAGAAAAAGCCACATAGTTTCAAAATAAAAGAATCTGTTTGCCTTGCCTGTCTTAACTTTGTATATTATGATTCAGAAATTAACATCTATTGCAAAAAACTCAGGACTCAGAAGGCTGCTGTTGAGTTCTTCTGGATTGGTGGGCAGCAATGCGATGTTTTATCTTCCAGAGACCCTGAGTTTGATGTTGAAGCTTTTTCTGGTTTTCCTGACAAGGAATTATTTTATTGGAAGTATAATTTTTTGTGGTCTTTAAATCAATATGAACATGTGGAGAAGCCTCTGGTTGTTTGGGATATCATAGAAGCATTATTGACGTTCAAGCAGTCTGCACCTAAGTATGTGGAGCATGTACTAGCTAAGTGGTGTGCAAAAACCTTGTTACATTCTTCTAGATTATTCTCAAAAAAAAGTTCCCGACAGTTGCACCTCCTTAACATTATAAGTCGGCGTGTGGTCCTGGCAGAGCTGGAGGCAGACAAAATTAACTGCTGTTTGAAGAATTTTGAAGGAATACGTGGTGCTGAAGAAGAACACCTTGCTTTGTGGCTGGAGCTGCTTCTGAGCAGTGAAAGAGAACTCCGAGAAAGGCTCGTGGCTTTTAGTTTCTCTGCTGTTTCAAGCATTATGTCACGTTCATCCACAAATTTTGATACGGGATACTGGCATCCTGTTGGGTTAGCACAAATGGAGCAATGGGTTGCACTTAATCATGATTATGTACGGGATCATCCGAAACTCCTTGCAGCAGAAGTCAGAAAGCTTAAGAAGAGGTTCTCCTTAAAAACCACACCGTTTTTTCTTATTGTTTATTTTCTTTGTTTGTTTTGTTGATTTGCATTATGGATCTTTTTGTATGTGTCAGTCTGTCTGATGGCTGATATTTAGATGTCCAGTGTAATGGAATGACGTCGTTCTGTTTTCTGTATAATCTGATGATTTCAGATCTGTCCTTTTGATAGAACTAATATATTGAAAACAGACATCTCCATGGATAGTGAAAGTGAAAATCATCCTATACCAATCTTAATAATGATCTACATTATGAAGAATCATCTGTTAATGACATGCCTGGGCCAATCCTGTTGGCCCAACAGCATGGGACTGCAGGTTGGCAGATTGAGTACTCTTTTTTTGTCATAGGTCTCATCATCCATTGTCTTCAGCCAAATTGGGCAGTATGTAATATCAGAGGGCTCACTCTCATGGTCTGATCTTCCTTGCACCTGGGAGAGCCACTCTTGAGAACCTCTCTTTCTCTTGTCTACCCCACTCTCATCTGGTGCCACTATTTGAAGAATTTTGTTTGCATCTTTTGACGTATGCCCCTTGTAGAGCCAAATCCGGTTTGCATTACATTCTGGCTCAGGGATTCCACTAAACTTGTATCGCCTGATTGCTTAAATGCCCCTCCATCAACAAGGAGTTACATCTGCTATAATTGCGGAGAGGCATTTCAGTGTTTTTTGTTTGTTTATATTTTGTGAATTAAGCATTTTTCATTATTTTGAAAGTTCACCATTTTATACAAATTTATTTTGGTAGAATTAAATACTTTCAAGGTTTTCTGGAAGCTCAAGAAGTATTCTGACTCAAGACTATTGCAACCTTTGGATACGTAGTTGTGTACCTACTTTTAGAGCCTTATAACAATTTTGATAGCAGTAACTCAAGGCTGCCTACCGTATTGTCAGTATCCAATTTCTGCTTCGTGAAGCATTCCGTAGTTTAGTGTGTTTGTAATATTCTTCTAATTTCAAGAGGAAATCCTTTCCCGTGAGACGCATGGTTCTTTCAGAGTCGAACATGTGGTTGTAATGACGGTCTACTATTTTTTTGAATGTTTTAGGTGCTTATAGAACACGGCAATTTCAAAGTGCCAGGCTTTGTTGTATGATTGAATATTGCCTGCTGACACACTCATATTATTTTCTTATTATTCAATACGATCTTATAATCTGTATTTTCTTCAACAGCGGGCTCCACTCCATACACCAATTTGTAGCAGAAGAGCAATGTAGCTATTGTTCAGCATCTGTTCCATTTGAATCTACAGAATATGCTTTCTGCCAAGGTGTGAATAGCAGCGATGGAGTTAGTCAGAGACACAAACTGTTCCGGTGTGCTGCTTCCATGCAGGTCTGCCCTACTACTACTACTACTTCATGGTTTTGCTTGTGTTGTCAGAGACGGACTTCAAATATGGCACCCCAGGCTCTATTCAGAATGCCCTCTTATCCTTCAGATTTCAAGATCTCTACTGAATCTTCAAGGCTAGAACTACTTTCAAAACCATTATGCCCCTTCTGTGGGATACTGCTACAAAGATTACAACCAGAATTTCTACTGTCAACGTCACCGGTGTAAGTTACAACTCTCTTCTGTATATTAATTGTATCATGTGTTAATTGTCCTATCAATAAATTAGGGTCCATGCATGCAAATGGGGTTATTAATAAATTGGGGTTCAAGTCATTGCTGTGCGATGGAATTTTCTTTCCCCTATCTCCTCCCACCAATTGTTAAAAAAAGAAAGAAAGAAAAAGATTAAGCTTGAAGATTGAAAAGAATAATTGAAGCCAAGAAATCATCAGGCCTACATTGCTAAGCAACACAAAGGGAACATGCATTGGAAAAAAGAGGTGTTGGGCAAAAAACACCATTGACAAGTGTCAAGACAATGCTAGAGTGGTACACTTACAGGTCTTGAAGAACTTTCTAGATGGTCTTGTTAAATTTCATATATTTAAAAGGTTGGAAGAATGGGCTTGCTAGTGGTTCAATGGTCAAAATAACATTTCACTCCACATTCTATAATTGACCATGACCCAAGGATATGAATTATCTATTTTATTATATAAAGCATACATCTCATCCGGCGAAACTATGGCACATATTTTTTATGTCCAAATTAATCCTTATTATATAATTGAATTTTTATTTTAAATTTTGATTTCAGTTTTTTTCCTTCTATCTATAGATAGGGCGATTTTTATTTTAAATTTTGGCATGTTTCATATTGGTATGGTTTAGAGGTAAACCAAAGACCAAATCATTACTTATGGTTTTATGAGATATGGAATCAAACCAAATTATCAAATTTTCCAAACCAAAGACCAAGTCATTACTTATGGTTTTATGAGATATGGAATCAAACCAAATTATGAAAATTTTGAAACAAATCAGATCAAATAAGTAAAACCTAGTTTGATTCTGTTTGGTTTGATGTGATTTGGAACCATAGTTTTATAAATGACGTAATCATTTACAATATGATCACAAAATATTATTCAAAACTTAATAATTGTTTTCATAATCAAAACTAGTTCTACTATTGTATGAGAATATGTTTGCAAAAATTATGGGTTGCAACTTATGTATATATATTTGATGTTAATAAGATTTTTGAGTGTTTATGATATGCGACGAATTATAATATATCT